CTCGTACTTGAAGACTAGGAAACCCTGATGCCAAGTCTTCCTTGACGCCAATGCTCACCACCTCCAAACACCAACTCCTTTCATTTTCAGTTCTCAAGGGGCAAAACAACATAAGAAGCAGCAGTTCTAAGCACGTATAATTGCATTAAGCACAACAGAAGCACACGAGAGAGAGAGAGAGAGAAAAATCCCAGTCAGAAATAATTCTGATGACAAACCGTCTCAAAACAACTCTGTTGCGACCATCTGCTTTCCCTAAGAGTATTTCCAAGATTGCCAGGGTTCCGTATTATGGGGGTAATTTTTAATTACGACAATAATAGATTCAAAACCACAGGACTTGGATTTGTAAGAAAAGGAAGAATTTTGCCATTGATTCGAGGAGCCTGTTGTCAGACCAATATTTGGGCCCGACGGTGAGCGCGCTGGTTCCGTTCGATGGCTCGGCTGTGCAAAAGGCATTGTTCCTCAGCCAGATGCTTTCCATTTTTTAGTGGGGGGAAAAATTGTTTCCACAAGTTTTGATCATTATGGAAGGAGCAGGGATTTGTAAACAGCCTTTACTGCTCAATTACGGCTCTCCTCGGCTGGAGTTAAGGCTTGTGGGGCAAGGAATAATTTTATGGTGTATACATCATATACTTTTATTTTTTTTCAGGGAAAATATGGCTCCGCGCGACATCCCTTACAGGCAAAGTTTGTTTTGCTAATAAATTGGTTAATTGGCAGGTTAAATTGTTAGCAGATGCAGAATTTCCACTAAACTAGACTTGCTTCCTACAAAGTATTTAAAACGTACAGTAAGTGCACTTTTTTGGAGACGGGGGGGATGGACCTAAGTGAGGGAAGAGGCTATTAAATTTTCCATGTGGATACGAGTTTGATCATAGCCCTTCCACTGTACATTTGGAGGCGGGCCCCTTAAAATGAGCAGAAATGGAGATCCATATAGAAGAGTGCTTTCCAAACCTTTCATATTAAACAGGCATCACTTCGCGACACGGTAATTCAGTTGTATTCACAAACCAGAAGTTAAACCAACTCCTTATAAGAGATACATGGTGGTGCACCCCAACCAGAGTTCACCTTGCCCTTGGCACCAACCAGGAATCCAAAAGCAGTACAAAAACTGTTTATTGAAGACAGTACATATTTATTTATCGTGTCAGGGGCAATTTCTAACAGAACAAAACAAACAAACAGACAAAACACAAAATTTGCAAGCTTGGTAGTTGATTAAATGTCTATTATTATTATTATTATTATTATTATTATTATTATTATTATTATTATTATTATTTACAGATTTTATATTCCGCCCTTCTCCTCACCCCGCAGAGGACTCAGGGCGGGTTACAGTGTACACATATATGGCATTCAATGCCAATTTTAACATACAAACATATACAGACATACACAGATGCTATTTAACTTTTTCTGGCCGCCAGGGGAGCTGTCACTTTCATCGTCCATCTGCGACGCTGA